GCCAATTGTCCTGGCTGAGGACCACTGCACCAATAAAACATTTCCATCACCCTGTGTTTTATTAAATCCAACAGTTTATATTCTCTCCCCCACAAGACTGTATGCTTCTTTAGTGAAGGTATGATATCTTGATCATTTCTTGATTTTTATGACATAGTACTTTGCTCACACTATCCACTTCACAGAGTTGTTAAATGAAAGAAATAGACATAGTGTTGAATGTAATTAATGTTGTATATCTTAAACACCATGAAATTCTCATCCTATATAATAAAAGGTTAATATGCAAATCAACTGAATGGCGGAATGACCGGTCGCTATGACACACACTGACCACCAGGGGGCAGACGCTCAATGCAGGAGCTGCCCCCTGGTGGTCAGTGCGCTCCCACAGGGGGAGTGCTGCTCAGCCAGAAGCCGGGCTTGCTGCCTCTTAGCACTGCCTTGGCGGTGGCAGGAGCCCCTCTTATCTCCACGCAGCACTAAGGACCCCTTGGGGGATGTCCGCCTGCCAATTTAGGCCTGCTTCCCGTGGAGCGGGCCTAAGCTGGCAGGTGGACATCCCCCAAGGGGATCCTAGACTGCGAAAGGGCACAGGCCGGGCTGAGCCTCTTACTCCCAGTGCACGAATGTTGTGCACCAGGCCTCTAGTTAAAGTATAAAGTAATAATATGCTAATAAGTTTCCTGGGTACTTGTGGGGGTTACTATGTGTCATAGACGTTTTAATCATTATTAGGAGGCAAAAAACTCAACCGGTGACAAGAATACTAACCATGTAAGGTAGAGCATATGGTGCCCAAATAAATGATGCAGGGATCAAATAGTACTGAATTTAGAGGAAGCTTAGAGGCAAGCCTTATGGTTGTGTCAGTAGATAGTTTTTGAATGAATGAATGATTTATATGTTAAGATCGATGTGAGAGAGAGAGAGGAGAGAGAGAGGAGAGAGAGAGAGAGAGAGAGAGAGATTGATTGGGGTAGTTGGCATGCTGAGGCTACTAAGACTGGCAAAACTAGGAATTTAAGAATTAAAGAGTTCCCACTGAAAGCTTGAGATACAGGCTTTAGAGCAGGGGTCCTCAAACTTTTTAAACAGGGGGCCAGTTCACTGTCCCTCAGACCGTTGGAGGGCCAGACTATAGTTTAAAAAAAAAACTATGAACAAATTCCTATGCACACTGCATATATCTTATTTTGAAGTAAAAAAACAAAACGGGAACAAATACAATATTTGTATTTGCATGTGGCCCGTGGGCCGTAGTTTGAGGACCCCTGCTTTAGAGCTTTCATCAAATTATCCTGAGGACATGAACAGGGTAGTGTTTGGAGCTGCCCAATTCTGGATTTCTTACTGAAGTTTTAGGAGTATATGTCCCAAGAAATGAAATGTGTAAGGTAGCCCCAAGGAAAGCTCTTCTCTCCTTCCCTCCCTCGTTTGCTCCTTCAGCAAACATCTACTGGGCCAAGGCTGTGTCAGCCCCGTGCCAGGAATGGGAAGTGCAGCAGTGAGCAGGGTGCTGAGAAAGAGTCAATTCTGATGGAGGTTTAATCAAACAACCAGCGACTTCACATACATCCGATACAATATGAACTCTGAACGATCCTACTGCTTTTTCCAATCCCCCAACGGCTGCATTCATAATGTATATCTATGCTCTAGTGTCTCTGTACACAGCAAAGGCAATTAAACATTACCTTCTAAACCTTCCAGATATGCCAAAAATTTTAGGCTACACTGACCACAATAATTGACTTGCCATTGCAGTGCTATCCCCTCGGGATTGAAAGGCAGCAGATACTAGTATTCCATATGTGTGAAATAACGGCCTAGATGTTTGGGTGGGACAGTGAGAGTGAATCTCTAATCAAACTGAAAATAGAGCCATGTTCAGAAAGCAGAATGCAGTTATCCAGTTGGAATTTGGCCTGTATGGTAGACAGATTCTCTCAGTTCTTAAGAAAGTGAGCATATGCCCTAACCGGTTTGGCTCAGTGGATAGAGCGTCGGCCTACAGACTGAAGGGTCCCAGGTTCAATTCTGGCCAAGGGCATGTACCTTGGTTGCAGGCACAGCCCCAGTGGGGGGCGTGCAGGAGGCAGCTGAATCGATGTTTCTCTCTCATCGACGTTTCTAACTATCTCTCTCCCTTCCTCTCTGTAAAAAATCAATAAAATATATTCAAAAAAAAGAAAAAAGAAAGTGAGCATAGACCTTTAGATTATACTACGCTTGAGCCATGAAAGTATTTCTGACTCAAGTTGAAAGGCACCCTTTACTTTTAGCATCTCCACCAGTACCACCTTCTTGACAATCTCAGTCGCTGGATGCGAGTCATGAAAACCTTTACTCAAGGGAAATTCACTTCCTTTGTGTGCACATAGCAGACATTTAGAGAAGCTTAGTAGTGTTTTGCAATGTAAGCTCTCTAAATAAGGGGTAGAAGATGTGGTATCGGACACATCAATATCATCTCACTCCTGGAAGTTCAGTGCTGCTTAGAAAACAGTCTGCTCAGTCCTAAATCTGGGAGGGCAAGGCTGTTTTGATTGTAGACTCCTTGAGAATTTATTGAAAGCAATGAATGTGCTATCTCCTCCCTAGCGTTCTCTCTCTCTCTCTCCTCTCTCTCTCTCTCTCTCTCTCTCATCAATGGGAATGCACACTAAATGTAATTTCAGGGATGAAGACCTCTACTTCCCTGAATTCAGTCCATGGGTTCTCACACTCCAGGTTTAGAAGCTATTATTTGGCCAGCTTGATTGTCTATAGGTTGCTACTTCAGGAAAAGAAAACTAAATTCTTCCTGCAACTCATGAACTGTTAAGAAAATCTCCTATCACCTCAGTTCTCTCTAGATGGAGAATTTGATTAAAAAAATTGCATATAAAGAGGACTTACATGTTGAATTTCTTTTATCTTGCTATATATTTGACTTTATCTCATAAAAAAACAGATTGTTTTTATTTTCTGTATTTTATAGAAATGATAGAAAATAATCATTGTATAAGTTGAGTCTCAAACTCACAGTTAGCTTTATTCTATGACTAAAGGCCCGGTGCACAAAAATTTGTGCACTCGGGGGGTCCCTCAGCCCGGCCTGTGCCCTCTCGCAGTCTAGGACCCCTCGGGGGATGACCACCTGCTGGCTTAGGCCCGCTCCCTGGGGGATCGGGCCTAAGCTGGCAGTCAGACATCCCTCTGGCAGCCCGGGAGCCCTAGGGGGATGTCCACTTGCTAGTGGGGAGCAGGCCTAAGCTGCAGTCGGACATCCTTAGTGCTGCTGAGGAGGCTGGAGAGGCTCCCACCACCACCGCTGTACTGGCAGCCGTCAGCCTGGATTGTGGCTGAGCAGAGCTCCCCCTGTGGGAGCGCACTGACCACCAGGGGGCAGCTCCTGCATTGAGCATCTGCCCCCTGGTGGTCACTGTGTGTCATAGTGACCAGTCATTCCCAGTCGTTCTGCTGTTAGGGTCAATTTGCATATTACCCTTTTATTATATAGGAGTGCCTGGCCAGCAGACTGATGACTGTTTGCAGGCTGGCCACAGCCCCTTCAGGGTGGGGGTCCCCCCTGGGGTGCCTGGTCAGCCTGGGTGAGGGGCTGAGGGCCGTTTGCAGGCTGGCCACAGCCCCTTCAGGGTGGGGGGTCCCCGCTGAGGTGCCTGGCCAGTCTGGGTGAGGGGCTGAGGGCCGTTTGCAGGCTGGCTAAGCCCCCCAGCGGGGACCCTCACCCCATGAGCATGTGGTCAGCCTGGCTGAGGGACTGATGTCTGTTTGCAGGCTGGACACAACCCCCAGCCACCCAAGCTCCCAGTGGAGGCTGGCTGGAAGCAGGTATCTGGGATTTGTTTATCTTCTATAATTGAAACTTTGTTGCCTTTAGTGGAGGCCACAGCCGGCTCAGGGCTGGCAGAATCTTGGCTTCCCCCATCACCGGGGCAACCCAGGCTCCTGCTTGCTCCAGCTCCATGGCTGCCGGCCACCATCTTAGTTGGGTTCATTTGCATATAGTCACTCTGACTGGCTGGTGGGTGTGGCTTAGAGCATAGCGAAGGTACAGTCAATTAGCATCTTTGTCTTTTATTAGTGTAGATAAATATCTTGGGGTTGGCTACTTACTTAAAGGTATTTCCAAAAAGATTTTGTAGGTTCTAAGTACTTTAATGTTAGTAATATAGTATGATATTTTACAATGAACAAATTAGGGCAACTTAATAAATTATTCAAGTGAATTTTATTTTCTTGAAATATTTAAAATAAATTACTCAATATCCAATATGCTGGGCATGTTTTAAAGCTACTTCTTCAAAATCTATGTTTTTTATTGAAGACTTAGAATAATATTTACCTCATCTCACCGAGTACTGTTTTAAAAGTATTTAGTTCTCATAGCAGAAACTCATTTATCCTCTCTTTCTTCTTTATTTCCTCTATGATTTATTATTACCGGACATATTGAGATATTTGATCAATACATTTATTTATTATGTACTCTACAAGGCATTGTATCTGATGATATGGGAAGTTCAAAGATAAGACAGGTCTTCTGGAGACTATAGTCTATTTTCAAAGATAAAACATGGACCAGGATAATATAAACTTAATGTTTTGACTATATTTATAATTTTGCTTGTAGAAGTTAAACATAGTTATTATATTTATCTGGTAAATAACTATATTTTACCTCAGAAATCTATAATAAATAGATAATTCAATATCACTTTAAAAAGCTTTTATGAAATAACATGAGAGAGAGAGAGAGAGAGAGAGAGAGAGAGAGAGAGAGAGAGAGAGGGAGAGAGATATGAGAGAGAAACATTGATCGGTTGGCTCCCATACACACCCAGACTGGGGATTGAACTCACAACCTGGGTATGTGCCCAGACCGGAATTGAATCTACCACCTTCCAGTGTATGGGATCATGCTCCAACCAACAGAGCCATAAGGGCCAGGGCAAAATAACATTTTTTTTTAAATATTGGTGTTTGTTTCCTACCAGACAAGGCTGTCAAATTTGCATTTTTGGTGAAAACTTCAGTTATTCCAAGAGCCTTCAAAACATCTTTTAAATCAATCTCCTGTTCCACTGTGAACCTGGAGAACACAAGGGGGAAAAATTAGTTACCGCATTTTTAAAGCATTTCGTTACAGTATCTTGTTATCTGAGACAAGAATAAAATGTTAGATATTTAGATATTTAAAGCCTGTTTTATGAGGTAAAATTATACTAAAACTGGCTTTTGACTGCAAGTAGTATTTGATTGTGCTTATAAAAAGAAAGGGTGTCAAATGGAATAATATAACAGAAGAGTATTAAATTAAGTAGGAAAATACATAACATGGACACAAAGCCATAATATATGGTGGAATAAATGAGTTTTGATATCAAGAATAATTACCATAGTACTATGTAAAATTTGTACATGAACAGTTTTCAAGTCCTTTGACCTATAAATATATTTGTGTGTGTTTTTTTTAAGTTGGTAATGATTGATCATACATTTCCCCAAGATGCTTCATTCTCTTCTTAGTATCCTGGTCAACTTTCTACCCAATGAAAAGGGTTAAATAAGAGCCAATTGTTTCTATAAAATGAATACATCCAGCATTTCAACTCCATGTAACTCACAGAAAGGAAACATAAAAACTATCACGTTTAAAAATATATATGTTCTCGGTTATATTAACCTCTAGGACATAAGCCTGTTCTCATGGTAGTATCCCACAAAAATTGTTAATCAATGAAAGTGAGTTAAATATTATAGCTTAAAAACTATGCACTTTAATAATTATACAGAGATTTTTAAATCAAGAATAATAGATATTTTTTTGTTCCAATGAATTAATATACATGATAATTAATATACTATATGAATTATTATACATAAATGTGCCTCATTTTTGTAAAAATAAATACAACATTATTTAAAAACTCAAAAATAAGAACAGTGGTCATAAACAGAACATTAATTTAAAAAATGGTTCCCACAGAAAGCCAGATTGTTACTAAACAGAATCTCTCCCAAACCAATGAGTTGTATCACCCATCTTACTAGTAAAAGATATGGACCAAACATGGCTGCATTAACAAACAAATGCATTTGTTAAAAGCAAAGGGTTTTAATATTTCTATAAAAAGTGAAAACAACTGGTTAGAATTAAATGTGCCTCCTGATCAATATGAATAAAACATAAATTTTAGGAAATGACTGTGTACTTAACAATCGCAGAGCTAAGTCTGAGATAGTCACTAAACATCACATTAATGTAGCATCACTTTTTTTTTCTTTTTTTTTAACGTAGCTTCATTTCTGATGTCTGGTTTTAAGAAAAGTGACAAGGGAATGATTGCCATAAATGAGATAGACACCAAGAGGAGTGATTAGTTTTAGCATGTCTACGAAAAAAATTAGAGCAAAAGACAAGGAAATGTAGAGCAAACATACTGAATTTTATCTATACCCCTCACTTTAACTTGGACTTAACACTTTTATTTTATTTTTTACAAAAAGGTGATATCGATTGTAAAAGTACAAAAGGGGATGAATAGGAAAATACGGAATATCTTGGAGAATACATTTGATGACTTAATTAAGGCTTTTGTGTGTGTGCTTTATTATTATCATTAATTTATTTTTTGATCACTTACTATATGGAGCTTACTATATGTTACAAGAGTAGAAAAAACAGTCATATAAATATCACTGCAGCCCTTAGAAGTAGGTATTATATTATCATCCCCAGTTAAAAGAAGAAACTGAAGGCAGAAAGATGAAATAACCCGACAAGGCCATGCAGCTAAATAAATGGCAAGACTGGGATACGGGTCCATGTAGCATGATATTTGTCCTGATTCTCCTAAATTAGAAAGGAAAGGTAGGTGTCAGGAGGGAATTCTTTTTGCCTCTTAAAATCAACTTCTTTTTTTCACACTTCTGAGGCTGGCTGTTTCGGTGAGGACGGCAATTTAGCAGGACTGACTTGGGCAAGTTCCTTGGTTTCCATATGCCTCAGTTTTGGCATATAGAAAATGGCAATAATAATAATAATAATACCCACTTCATAGTATTGTTGATGGGATTAAATAAGGTTTCTCAAAGTCTTATAATGGTGTAGGCATGTAGCAGGCATGTGATAAATAGCAATACTGTTAACAATTCTTATTATATTGAAGTTATGTATAATATTCACATTATTATAATGTTAAGATGTGTATATTTGCATTTTAGTGGTGATGAAGTAACTTAAGTAGCCATATTAATCCCTGCAACTTTCACTGCAAATTAGTCAAATCTAGTGTCTTTTTTTCATTTTAATATTTGTAGTATCTGCATAGGACAAAACACATAGGCGGAAGCGAACTCAAATCATGAGAATGTTGTTCTAAGTTGAAGACAGGATGTAAACAATTTCCATTTATTCATTCATCCTCTTCTTTTCCTCATCAACTATTGAAGAATACCTATTATCCATTTATAATATCTTTCCCCTTAATATAGACTAATACTTATATAAATATTCATTTTTATACTGAATGCTTACTATGTCACAGGCACTATGTGAATCCTTTTATGTACAGTATTTCCTTTAATCATCCCCATGACAATCTCACACAACCCTATGATATAGGTATTATCTCTAGTCCACAAAAGAGCCCCCAAAAGCTAAGCAACTTGCCCTGGTCACACAGCTAACAGGTCATCAAATGGGGGTATGAACTAAGGTCTTCCTGATTGCAAAGCTCCCTCAAGACTAATCACTATAATTACAACAATGGTTTATTAAAAAAAAACAAAACAAAACAAAAAAACAAAACACAACTACAGGCAGATTTTATATTTCACCCACTGAATTTAAAAATAAAAGGCCAAACACTGCTTTAAAAAATTACCAAAGGAATGCATGCTTTAATAAAGGCATACAATGTAATGGCATATCTGCACCTTTTTATCTGAATAAGCTGAAGAAGTATGTGGAGGGCAGAAGCATCAGAGACTGAGCAAATATGTGGAGCAAATGTTACAAAAACAAATATATATTACCTTCAATAAAATTTATAAAATTTATAAGTAATTAAGAAACTAAGCAAACCCTTTGTAGAAAAACCTAATAAAAAGCATTTGGGTTAAAGAACAAAATCAGATGGCTTATGCATTGGTTTTCTTTTATCAACATGAAACTGAAGTGCTTTCTTAGTAGGCAATCATTTCAAAATAACAGCATGGTTCCCGGCTACAAAACAAAGAACCACTTTATATCCTTTGATTTCTCTCTGGTCACAAATGACAATCTGAGACTACAAAAGTCAGAGTGGAAAGACATTACAGACAGGGACCTCTGCCTTCCAAGTATTACTGGATTTTGATTTTTAGAAAATCCTTCTGATACTTAAGCTGCATCAGTAAATACTGAAGAGCCAGAGCATGTAATGAAGAGAGGAATGTTCATTAGAACCAGTTTTTAGAACGGGTATCTAGAGAAAAGCATATATAAAACTACCCATAGGTTAACATAAGATAAATACTAGTATTTAAAATGTACATTGAGCTCAGCTAGCATGGCTCATTGGTTGAGCATGGACCTATGAACCAGGAGGTCACAGGTCAATTCCGGGTCAGGGCACATGCCTGGGTTGTGGGCTCGATCCCTAATCAGAGGGTGTGTAGGAGGCAGCCTACCAATGATTCTCTCTCATTATTGATGTTTCTCTCTCTCTTCTCCTCTCCCTTCCTCTCTCTAAAATCAATAAAAGCATATAAAAATGTGCACTGAAAATTAAACAACAATAGATAGTACTTATATGATGCTTACTCTGTGCCAGGCATTATTCTAAAGTGCTTTTTAGTTATATATACCAAACTATTTTTGCTATTGTGGGTAAATTGGAAGAATATCTGACAATATTATTTAAATCTTAGAGATGTATTCCTGTGCACAAACCTTATGGAATTCCACTGGATTTGGCGATATCACACAGGTATAGCAATCTTACCCTCTTCTAAGCAGACTTCTTATATTTTGGATAAAAATACACTTTTAATTTATTATCTGATTCCTGTAGGATTTATTGTTGGGGGGGATAACACAAATACAAAAGTCATTGTCCCATCTCTCCTCTCCCATGCCCTGAAATACCCTATACTTCTTAAGAAAGGCATTCTACAGCTTTCTCTATAAAATGTAGTATAACAGAAAGTAAAGTACCTGACAAGCAGAACAAGAATTGGTCAAATTACAGAAATGCAAAGTTGCATTTTTAGGTAATAATTTCCATATGAATAAAATTACACAAACCATTTAGACAGACACTTGAGTGAACCTAGAACACAGCTATCAGGACAATGTTACCTTTGCTAAAATTGGGTCACAGAAGTCATTACCTTTATCGAACATTTTGTGGATCCTAATGCTGTACAATGGAGGGGGGTGGATAGTTTCCCAATGATTATTACTGACACATTAGTATTTGAAAATAGCCAATCCCTTGAAAAGGGAAACTAAATGTATCTTTCCTCTCAATTAGCCTCCCTCTGTATGCATTAGCCATGCAGAGGGAGAGTTCACAGAATTCCTACAGAAATGGATACATGGTAATCAGCTGTGCCTAGTTTAGTAACAAGCATTAATATGAGGAAGCAAGCTAAACTATTTCATAATTGAAGAGTGTATCTTAGAATATGAAAAATTAATTTTCTTCTGCACCCACGTTCAGTTTCTCAGTGGAGAGGACCTGGAGGCCACATTTTCTAGTGAATATGGTTGAATTAGAACAAGTGATACTTAAGCATTCATTTGCAATTCTGCTACAGTACTCCTAAGTAACTTTGCATCCTCACAGAATTAAGCATTTAGAGATGCTGCACTTAATGCATAAAATTCAATAAGGAGAGCATTAACACTATACTGATTTTCTCATATTATCAAAAGAAATTCATGCCCAGCTGGTGTGACTCAGTGGTTGAGCATCGACCCATGAACCAAAAGGTCATGGGTGTGACTTCCAGTCAGAGCACATGGTTGAGGGCTCCATCCCCAGTAGGGGGTGTGCACGAGACAGCTGATTGATGATGTTTCTATCTCATGGATGTTTCCATGCCTCTCCTTCCTCTCTCTCTAAAAACCAATAAAAGCAATTGAAATAAAAAAGAAATTCATTATAAAATTCAAGGAAAAATATAAGATTAATAATAAAGGTCTCTGGATGAGATTTTAGATCTGATTTAGATATTTAAATTTAGTTAATAATGTTTAAAAGTAAATTCTTTTAGAGTTACGATATATTGTTTATATATCCAGTATGTTTACATCAATTATATAAATATACATACATAAATATACACACACGTAATATACATATATATATGTGTGTGTGTGTATATTACATGGCCTTAGCTTTATTTGTTAGATAGTCACTGACTACCTCTATCTCCCTGAGCATAGACATAGTGGAAACTTGCTACATACTAGTAAAAGTGTTATCATGGAAAGTTATGCAAACTTAATATTTTAGCCAAAAACAAAAATAAATATTTGGAGTATGAATACCTTAATTTTTATATGTGGACTAAGAAATGTATGGCTATTTATTATGTATGGTTACATATTACAGATATATAACACTAACATAATGTGTATATATCTTTCTAGCCAAAACTGTCTATAGTTCCAAATAATCTCCATATATATAAACAAACATCAGCTAAGTTTTTTTAAAAATAAGCATTTATATAAGATGTAACTATTTTTATATTTTTTTATTGTTTAAAGTATGACAAATAGCATAAGATATAACTTTTGAATAATTCCTAAAATTAGAATATGAATATTTAGTAATTCAATTTTAATACTAATATCTTACTTATCATTTGTAATGTTCATATTAATTAATTATATTTGTATAATTTTCTTAATATGGAATGAATGTTAGAACTGTACTTCCACATACACATATACGTATATGTTTACCTGTTGTTTATTTGTATGTTTTGTTTTCTAATCCAGAATTTACACACTATGTTTGCTTATAAATTTGTTTGTGTTCACTGGTCTCATGTCCCTGCTAGGTTTTAAGGTATTCAAGGACAGAATAAATATCTTCAGTTGGGTTTCGTTTTACAAACACATTTCAATCATGGGGGAGATCTGAATGTAGAAGAACTTACAGAAGTAAAGTAAGACTTACAAAAGGGTAATTTCATTGTGGGGTGTAACATAAATGTCACTATAGGGAGATGCATAAGTGAGGACAAAGTGAGGGTCAACTGCTCATCAGGGGGTTCATGGAAGGCTTCCTAAAAATGGTGCCAGATCTGTACCCTAAAGCTTAAGTATATAAATCTGGCAAAGCAATGTAAAGAGAGTTTTAAGTCAATACAAAAAATACACATAGAGACCCAGAGGCATGAGAAGAGCATGATGCCTGTGGCACACAGATAGTACATGCTACCAGATGTTTTCTGTGCTGGTGGCCAGAGGTAGGGTTGAGGAAGAGAATGGTGTAAGAACAGCAAGGCCCTGTATGGACCTTATTCTTTTGGCCACAGGGAGAATTTTAAGCTTCTTCCTGCTTACTTATGGTTGTATCTTGGCACCTAGCACTGGGACTTGCTTGTTCTTTTGCCAACAAAGTCAGAGATCATTTTTTCCAGCTATAATCAACTTTAAATATTAATGAAATACAGAAGACTGTCACTGTAAATTATATTCAGAGACAATCTATTGGAAAAATCTTTTACAATGAAGCCAAGAATAATTGACTCATATCTGAAACTAGGTGTTGGTAAATAGTATTGACTAAATCAATAAGTGAGCCTGTGTCTCTGGGCAGGACAACATGAGAATTAAAGAATACTTTGAAAGAAGGAGAAGAAGGAGAAGAATTAGAGGAAGAAGGGGAAGAGGAGGAGAGGGGAGGAGGAGGAAGAACAGAGGAGGAGGAGTAACAGGAGGATGAGAGAGGACAGAATAGGACGAGTAACAGGAGGAGGAGAGTAACACAAGACTTAAAATTCAAAAGTAATGGCAAGAGTTTCCCTAGGTCAGAATCTTCGTTGCTCTCCCTCCCTCCATGCTCTCAGAGGGAGTCACACAGGAGCCTCTCACCTGGGCAGGTACACTTCCACTTTCTGCTTCTTCACAGAGTTGGCCCATTCTTCAATCAGCTGCGCTTTGAGCAGTGGCTCCAGAGTGGCCAGTGGAACTTCCTGTCTGGACAACACCAGCATCATACTGATCTCATCTCCCTCATATGGAATTTCTAGGACTTGGTAGATACCACCAGCTTCATTGGAGCCATCACTAAATTCCCCTAAAAAGAAAAGAAATGTGATAAAAGGCCCATGTCAAAGCTGAAATAACAGGTTTAAATTTGTTACAACTTTTTAAAAAATATAAGAGATTTAGGCATCTGAGAAAAAGGTTTACTTAAAAACAGACCTTGAAATTCAAGTGAATCCTACATCCTGCAGAATTTATTTATATTAGAATCCCCAGAATTAGCTCACATTTGTCATAACATGTTCTCTGGACTTAGTTTATATTTGAAAATGGGACTTCAAATGAATATAGATTTAAAGGATATTATTAGAAACAATGAAATGTTTCTGGTTAGAAAAAGAAAGTCCTGAATCCTATACCACATTTACCAATATCTCCCTGATTATTAAATAGGGAAAAATTGACCATGTAATACCTGCTACTCTATTAATACTACAACTAAACGTTTTGAGGCAAAGTAGCATAGCCATAATAAAATCCGTTCCTTTCTACAATAGCTATATAGTGTATTTGTGGTGATTGTGACCTTCAGATTATGTAATTAGGTAAATTAGATAATTGGCTTTGTGTTCTAGAAACTTAACTAAATTGACGAGGCTTTCATAAAAAGCTCAGGTAGTCTTTAAAACAAATGGTCCTGTCACAACTTTAAAATTGTCTCCATTTTTCAAAAAACGTAACGCTTTTGTTGTGAATATTTTCCTAAATTGATCTAGGGCTCTTAAACTTCACATTAATCATTTCAATTCTCAAATAAATGGGTATTTTCCTTTCTTGTTTTTACTGTTAATTTGATTAACTGTGATTATAATACTTTTTTTTACAATGTATTTGTAAATAAAATAAGCTAGTAGTTATAACATATACTTAGCTTACAATTACATTTGTACTTATAACAACAAACTCTTACAGCTTAATGTAGGGCATAGGAAGGATTCACACCCAAAATTTCTAAAAAGTCTAATGAAACATCTTTGAAAATAATGCAAGAATATTGAATTGTATCATAAATTATAGACATTCAATAAATGAAACTATGAATAGTTTTGTCTGCCATACATACACAGCTATAAAAGCAAAATTTCAAAAGAATGCTTGTAATTCAAAAAGTGGTAAGGCGTCAAATTGAGAGCTGGGTGGAACATATGGATCACTGAAAACCACCCCAAAGCCTATGACTTTTTGTAGTAACTGAATAGTCGTATTCTAGTATTTTTACGTGTTCAAAGTCACTTTGTAGGTGTGATCAAATTTATAAATTGATGAAACATTGAAAAGCTGTCATTACACATAATCCTATACAGTGGGGCCTTGACTTACGAGTGTCCCGACTAACGAGTTTTTGGAGATACGAGCCGTCTCTCGGCCGATTTTTTGCTTTGAGTTACGAGCTAAAATTCGGGTTACGAGCCAGCTTCAGATACCCCACCGCTAGTTGGCGCAGCGAACGTCACAGTAAACGCTACAACATCAGCCCAGCATCACGTGTCTCACTCGTTCACTTTTTGATTTGACATACCAGTAATTTGAGTTACGAGCTCCGTCATGGAACGAATTAAACTCGTAAGTCAAGGCCTCACTGTATAATAAAGAGGTAATATGAAATTGACCATCACAACCTCCCACATGATGGCCGCCCCCATGTGGACACAAGATGGCCCGCAGGGGAGGGCAGTTGGGGGCGACCAGGCCTGCAGGGGAGGGCAGTTAAGGGTGACTGGGCTGGCAGGGAAGGGCAGTTAAGGGCAACTGGGCTGGCAGGGGAGGGCAGTTGGGGGGGACCAGGCCTGCAGGGGAGGTCAGTTAGGGGAGACCAGGCCAGCAGGGGAGGGCCGTTGGGGGTGACTGGGCTGGCAGGGGAGGGAAGTTGGGGGCCATCGGGCCAGCAGGGAAGCAGTTAGGTGTCAATCAGGCTCACAGGAGAGTGGTTAAGGGCTGATCAGGCTGGCAGGCAGGCGAGCGGTTGGGAGCCAGCAGTCCCGGATTGTGAGAGGGATGTCCCAGATTGGGAAGGGTGTATGAATTTTGTGCACTGGGCCTCTAGTATTCATAGTATTCACTCAGGATCTAATTAGAGGCTTGGAAAATGGAGCTAAGAAAATTTATCTTAAATTAAATTGACAAGAAATTTAAGTACTGAATATTTCATGTTCATTTTTTAAAAATTTGTCAAGTCCTGGCCAGTGTGGCTCAGTTGATTGAGCATCGTCCTTTGCACCAAAAGGTCACTGGTTCGATTCCTCTTCAGGGTACATGCCCAGGTTTTGGGTTTGATCCCTGGTCTGGGTGCTTATGGGAGGAAACTGGTCACTGTTTCTTTCTTTCTTTCTCTCTCTCCCTTCCTCTCTCTCTAAAATAAATAAAAACATAGTTTAAAAAAGAAATTTGTTGATATACCTCAAAAGGAGAGAAATAAAAGCCAAAATGTCATACCATAATAAAATTCTCCTTGTTGGTACATCATTGGAATTTGGACTTCGCTTTCATCATCTTTAGTGAAGGAAAAGGTTCTAGTATTTTCGGGTCTAAATTGTGACTTCCAGTTACCCTTGAAATAGACAGCATTGATGAGGGCCAGATGAGTGACAGCAGCAAAATCTCTTGGGGATACCAAATCTTTCAACAGACCTATTCAGGAAAAATAAATGGATGAAAATTAATATTAAATTAGAAGATGAAAGGGGACCAAAGATTATCAAATTACCATCCAATAGAGTGATTCAGAAGAACTCTATACCATTACTAAATTTATAATAAACTTTAAAAATACCTTACTTTCAAAAGAAAAATGTTACACACACACACACACACACACACACACACACACACACACACACACAATTATAGTTTAAGGGCACCTAAAATAGCCACACCACCTAAAATAACACAAGTGTAGATACTTGCACCAACTGCAGAACTACTTGTAGAAGAATCTCAGGCTTCAACCCTTTCTAGTTGCAATGATCTGTGTAACACTCAGCACAGAGAACACGCAACAAATGATGCTAGGTTTATTCTTGAACATTGTCCATGATTAAAATGTCATTCAATTCAACCATTTCCCCGTGTACATTGGATATCTTTCTACCAAACATAACAACTGCTTTGACTAGGTAAAAACAGATAAGTGAAAGCCAATTTAACTTGTGATGCTTTATTTTTCTATCACATATATTCCTTTCTGAATCTATTTTGAAAGACACTGGGTCTTTGTTGATAAGTGTTTAAAAAGAGTTTGGAGCCCTAGCCAGTTTGGCTCAATGGATAGAGTGTCAGCCATTGGACTGAAGGGTCCCAGGTTCGATTCTGGTCAAGGGCACATACCTAGGTTGCAGGCTCGATCCCTGGCCTTGTGGGGGCATGTGTGGGAGGCAAACAAAAGATGTGTCTCTCTCACATAGATATTTCTCTCTCTGTTTCTCCCCCTCTCTTCCACTCTCTCTAAAAATTAATGGAAAAATATCCTCAAGTGAGGGTTAACAAACAAACAAAAAGAGTTTGGAAACAAACAGCTTTTAATAATTCAATCTATTCCAGGTAGATTAATATTCTTGATTTATTCTTTGAATGTTAAAAAAACAACATAAATTTCTTTTTCTTACATTTTAATCTCATAGTTGAAAGAGTGATCTTAGTAAGAATAGTCATACAGAAAAAGTAATATCATAGTAAAAAACATAGGACCAAATTTTGCTCTGTAATCTCTCATTTTATTAACTATTGTACTTCTGAGCTTACGAAGGTGCTTCAGTTTTGGGGGATTGGTAGGAATAGCACATGTCATCAGGGTTTTTTGTTGCTGTTTCAACATAAAATTTAATAGATTAACATTATTTGGGGAGTTTGACAATATGAATTAATTTAATGAACAGCTGTAGTAAAACTACGTTAAATTTGGTCTCATTTTTTAGATTCTAATTTCATTTTTATGGTAAAATTAGAAAATAGAATTATAAGATATGAAACATTTGGAAAACTGAAATACATTTAGAATACATGAATTAAAAATAAAATTTTAAATTCATACATCTCTTTCTAATTTCTCTCCATTTATTTGTGCTTAAAGTGGGCTGCTCTTTTTTAAAGGAATCTTATACAATTTTTTGATTACCAATCAAGTCTTGTGAAGCCAACAAAAAAAAATCTTTAAACTCTGACTTTTAACTCTCTTATTTTATTTTAATCATAAGATAGCCACCACCAACTGCCATTCCAATCAGTATCTAATTTATTAAATAGCTCAAGCAAAGTTCCATACCATAGCTAAGATGACTACACAGGAAAAACCCATCAACTGGGGAGTGTTAATCTATCAGCATCAAAAGTCTAGGCATGCAAAAGACTATACTTATTTCTCAAATGTTTATTCATAAGCAGTGCTTCTAAAAAGACTTCAATCTATGTAGAATAATTATTAGATACTTAACTAAATTCTATATAATACACAAAATAGAAAAGGAATGAGGAGACAAATAATTTCAGGACTAAGGAGAGAGTCAAAACTAAGCTATTTGAGAAAGAAAAGAAGCAAATGACATACTATTTGTGTTATTCTCCACCCACTTATTGATGTGGTTGGCCACAGCAATATTTTGACCGAAATCCACATGATTTACTTCCGCATTAAAATAGTTTTTCATCATTTGCAAAAATTCATCATTGATGTGAAATTCATTTTGCACAAAGAGGGAACTGGCAATTTTCAGCACATACTGGCTCTTTTCAGCAGTGACCATGTTAGAAAAATCCTTCAAGAAAGAAAATTCTTCACCTGCAAAATGACAGAGGGTAAGTTTATTAGTGGGACAAACAGAGAATGTACAGGCAGTAAAAACACAGCTAACGACCCAGGGGAAAAGCATTCGCTTATTCTCCACATTGACATGATAAGAAAGTTCAATATTTCTGTGATTTCTAGATGTTCAAATTAACAATTTGAATTTTAGTGTTATCAACCAATATCATTTTTCATTTTAATCGATATCTTGGTAGAATCTATCAAGTAAAGATTTTTTGGTTGTTTACTTTCAAAGTACTTAGGTTACTTTCATTAAATTAGTCTTATGTTGATCAGAAATAAGAATTAAGTTTAATTTTCTAGCTTAAAAATTACTCCTTTAAATTTGCTTTTACTAGACTTTTTTAAAACCTTATAACTAGAAAATCCTTTATAAATTGTTTTAGTTCTTAACTGTTTAATGAGTTAATTCACATGTATATTAGAAACATTAAAATAGAAATCATATACCATGTCAAACTGATTACAAAATACCTTTTGGCTACAAATTTTTTACTATATATAAGTCTCATAATAATGAAAACATGATTTTAAGCAAAAAAAAGTCTGATATTCTTAGAGAATCATGTTGCTTTTCTTTGTAGCACTCATCACAGTTGTAAAGTTTCATTTACTTATATGAGAATTGATTACATATGTCTCTCCATCTAGACTTAAAATTCAGAGCAAGAACCATGCTTGCTTTTGTTTATCACAATAAGATTTATTTAAATATTATTATTATTAATGCATAATTTCTTTTAATTAACTCAGCCAGGGATGGAACCCAGAATTAACTCCTTTCTTGGGTTTCCTAAAGTTTCTCCTAGCCATACCATATTGATGAGAATACTTTATTACTGTGTGAAATACTGCTGTCTCTGGCATAAGGCAACACAACTGAGCTAAAAGTTAAAGTTAAACCATCCTGAGAAATCAAACCTAAGCACACTTACCGTGTTTCAGCCTGTCATATCCCATTGAATGACGGATTTCTTTCAGGGTAGACCCTTGGGCCCCCAGTTCCATCATTCCCATAGCAAGGGTGACGCTCAATGGAGAGAAAAGAATATTTTCATCTTCTCCAGTGGCTCGAAGGTGATTATACATAGTCACCGAGAACTCAGCAATGGTTTCATCAGGGAAAGTGGTCCCTACGGCCAAACTTTGCAGAAGCAGCAAAGAGAAGAGCCCAAGGAAAGCCATGTTGGAAGAGTTTCAATCCTGGAGAACAGTAATTTACATAGTAATTATCTCAGGAAAATAAAGAGAAAACTATATATAGGAATTCTTTTTTAGTAAAGTTGTAAAGCAAACCAAAAGTTTTTAAACATATACAGTATTAATATCTCTATAACAAAAGCCCCATTAAAGGATATTTTGGAATGACCTCCCTTTTGTTTTGCTTAATCCCTTCACCTTTTATATCCAGCACCACAATCTCCCCTTTCCTCTGACAGCTGTCAGTCTGTTCTCTATAAGGAAGGTCCTGTTTTTCAAAAGTCAATTCATAGTCAATTGAATAAATAACATTGCTAAGTCCTGCGGATACCCTCAGAAACAAGATGGCCCTGGCCCCCACCTTCATGGGTTAAGATTATGTATAGATACATATACAACAAGCAATGATAGGTTGTGTTTGTTGGAGGTAATCAATTCATTTTTCATAGCCTCAACGTATGTATTTTGATCATAATTTTGAAACAGTTTACTCTAACTTACACAACACAACCTAGATCCAGGACAACTATAATGAAAACCAAAAGATATTCACAGGGTTTAAGATGAACTTGTGAAGTTAGGCATTTGGAAATGCCACTTGACTCATTCACTACAATTTTTAAAGGTAATGCACCATGCAGCTGGTTTACCAAGTGGTGGGAAGAGATCAGACACACACCTGCCACGGGCCCATTTATTCAGGCCAGCTGCTGAACCCACAGGAAGTGGTAAAGTGGTAACCCAGAGAAAAGGCAGATTTAGCACATCCTTGTTTGCTTTTTCTCTTACACGTTAGTTCCCTATGAGGCTGCTGCTCCCAGTGAAGATCTCAGAGAGGAAAGAACCTCCTAAACACTGTCCTTTTTTTTTAATATTCTTTATTGGTTACAGAGAGGAAGGGAAAGGGAGAGAGAGAGAGAGAAAAACATCAATGATGAGAGAGAATCATCGATCGGCTGCCTCCAGCACGTCCCCTACTGGGGATTGAGCCCGCAAACCAAGCATGTGCCCTTGGCTGGAATCGAACCTGGGACCCTTCAGTCGGCAGGCCAACGCTCTATCCACTGAGCCAAACCAGCTAGGCAACACTGTCCTTTTTATACTCAGGACAATGTTACCATGTCAGCTTATACCAACAAACCGGTGGTTCTACTTATATGAATATTTCTAAATATCAAGCTTATCTGGCTCTTTTTGTTGTTGTTTGTTTTGTTATTCCTCACCTGAGGATATTTTTCCATTTATTTATTGATTGATTTATTTATTTGTTTATTGAGTGAAAGAGAGGGGGAGAGACAGAGAGAAACATGGATGTGAAAAAGACACATCAAATGGCTGCCTCCTGCACACACCCAACCAGGGCCAAGGAACCTGCAACCAAGGTATGTGCCCTTGACTGGAATCGAACCTGGGACCCTTTAGTCCATGGGCCGATGCTCTATCCACTGAGCAAAACAGGCTAGGATGCTCATCTGGTTCTTGACCGATTTCTCTTGGGAAAAGAAAGCAGTGTCAGTGCCCAATTTCTGAATAATATTTTTGCCTCTCAGAACATCAGTGTTCCAAAAGACTGGCACACACTGGGGATATGATTTCCTTGTATCCTCAAACGTTGTTTCCATAGGTCTCTGAAAGCTAAACTGCTTATTTAAACAATTAAGCAGTTTACTTATTATCCTATATAATAAAAGGGTAATATGCAAATTGACTGAAGGGCGGGATGATGTGCACTGACCACCAGGGGGCAGACACTCAATGCAGGAGCTGCCCCAGCCCGTAGGCCCTGATCACCCGATCAGAGCCTGCTGGCAAACCTCTGGATCCCTTCCCCTGGCTAGTAGGCTCCGATCGCCCGATGGGGAATGGGGATACCAGGGGTGGGTGGTGGTGGACATGGGCGGCGCCAGGTCAAGGCCTCCGCTCCACTGGTTTCCCCACACATAGAGGGCAACTGGCATCTGGGGATGGGGCCGGCAAGTGGGTGGGATGGCCAACCTCTCGGTCCCTCCCCCAGGCCAGCAGGTTTCGATCGCCCGATGGGGAATGGGGAATAGGGGGGTGGGTGGTGGCGGGGCTGGTGAGCGGGTGGGAATGGCCAACCTCTCAGTCCCTCCCCCAGGCCAGCAGGCTCTGATCGCCAGATGGTGAATGGGGAACCAGGGGAGGGGGGCGGCGGGGGCAGGGGCGAGCAGCTGGGGAAGATCGCCCTGATCACAGGTCAGGCCTAGGGACCATACCCATGCACAAATTTCATGTGCCGGGCCTCTAGTCTCTCTATATAAAAGCCTAAGCAACTGAACGACCAAACAACTGAATGACCAGTCGCTATGACACGCACTGACCACCAGCGGGTAGACGCTCAATGTGGAAGTTGCCCCCTGGTGGTCAGTGTTCTCCCATAGCCAACCTTCTGCAGTCTCTCCCCCCACACCCAGGTGGCTGGCCCCATCGGCCCCAATCACTGGTGAGGCTGAGGGACCCCACCCATGCACGAATTTGTGCACTGGGCCTCTAGAGAGAGAGTGTGTGTGTGTGTGTGTGTGTATTTTTTTTTAACCATCATTAAAACAACATCTAAAGTGATGTTAAGCAAACACATTTGGAAAATTGTTTTTCAATTAGTATGAAACTTTAATAGTCCCCATTACTCAGTGAAGAGAGTGCACATACATTTAACTTAAGAGCAGTGTGTTTTCAACAGATGTTTGAGTCAGAGCTTTCTAATCAGTCCTGTAATATTTAAAATTTCAATGTTAGAGAACTGCCTGTTTAATTTGTAAGTCCTTCACATTTTATGGTTTATTAGTAGTTTTAGATGTCAGTTCTCTTTGACTGAGAGGTTCCAAGTTTCTGCTCCCCCCCAACCCCATTTTTAAAAATATACATTTTATTGATTTCAGAGAGGAAGGGAGAGAGGGAGAGAGAGATAGAAACATCAATTATGAGAAAGAAT